GGTAAATAATATTAATAAATAGTTATTATTCATAAAATATTTCTCTTCTCAAAGAAATTGTATTAAAGATGGAGACTAACAATAGATATAGTAAATGAAGTAGAAAAAAATTGTTTATAACATTTAAAAAGTAAATAATAGACAATTACAGTAAGTGTCCATTAGATTTTCATATTTTAGTACCTAACGATTAGAATCTAGAAATATCGCAAACCTATGAAAATAAACAAAATTGCTGACGAGGGAAATCAAACCTACGACCTACGGACTTACAGACTAACGCTCTAACCACTATGCTAACTACACGTGTGTACAGTAAAGTTTTAATATCTCAGTATCATTCAGACTTACAATTATTGAATCAAAGATAAGAAATAATAGGGATACGTTAGAAATAATAAATTAAATTAAAATAAATTTTTAATAATAGAATTAAATAACTTTACTTATTGCATTTAACATTTTACAAGTGGCAATTTTTTAATAATTTCTTCCTCATAAAGGAAGCTTTGTATTAGCAAAATTTTGGATTGTCTTTTTTTGACATATTTATAAATTTTTTTTTATTATGCCTAATACTTTAGTACTTTATATATGAACAGGAACTCCCCGTATAAATGTTCTAAATAAATAAAAAAAAATTTCGACGTATTTTGACTTCCGAAGTCAAAAAAACGGATTTTAAAAATTTGTCCCGATGTGTGTGTGTGTGTGTGTGTACTAACATTACATTTGCCTCAATATCTCAGAACGAGAAAGAGCTAAAGGCCTCAATTTTTTTTAAATTGTAGGTCTCCCCGGGGGACATAAAATGAGAGTATTTTCAGCCCGATTCATAAAGTTTAACTAATTTTTTTTTGCATTTTTCATTTTGTAAAAAAACGTTTTTTGGACATAACTTAAAAAAATGTTAGGACACACTTATAAATGTTTTTCTTTAGTTTTGTAGAGTTTTTTCACACGCATCTTTTGAGCCCTAATTGAACATTTTTCGTTCATATTAACTGGAAATATTAAACTTTAAAAAATCAAAAATTTTAGAAAATAAGACTTTTTTGAAAATTTTGTTGAAAAATGTAGAAGTTTAGTTTTGTTTTGTATAAAAAAAAATATAAATATATATATATATATACATATTATATATATAATATATATATATATATATATATATATATATATATATATATATATATATATATATATATATATATATATATATTATTATATATTATTATATTATATTATATATATATTATATATATATATATATATATTTATTTTTTTAAATTTATTTTTGTTTTTTGTTTTGTTTTCTTTTTTTGTAAAGTTTTTTCAGACGCATCTTTTGAGCCCTAATTGAACATTTTTCGTCCATATTAACCGGAGATATTAAACTTTTAAAAATCTAAAATTCTGAAAAATAAGACTTTTATAAAATTTTTTTTAAATTATGTAAACGTAACTTCAAAAAATTATTACCAACTTGAAGAGCATTGAAAAACGCTTCGATTGACCTATTTTTTAACCTGATTTGGGCAGAAATTATAAAATTATTGGTATTTGAAAAATCAAAAATTGTGGAAAATATCATTTTTCAACATTCTTGTTTATTAACTTATGTGTAATTATTAAACTATTATTACCATCTTATAGAATATATAAAAACACATTTTTTGGACCAAGATTTAATGATTTTTAACACTTTTATAAAAAGTAATTCTTATATTTCAGTTATTATTATTTCTATGAGGAAGCAAAGTGTTCATGAAATGCACACCAAAATTATAAAAATGTACAACTTGGCAGCGGTTTTTTTTATTCATAGTAAGAAGTATAATAGTATTTTAATAAGAACCAAATTATTGTTGAGATTAAAGTTTAAATTTTGTTTATAATTTTACTTTGTTTAAACAATTTATTAATAACAAAATTATAATTTTACTGAAATTTATTATATTAAAGAATTTTAAAACAATTTTTGAAAATAATTGAAAGCTTTTTTAAGAATTTTATTAAAATTTTTAAAAATAATTGAATTCCTGAGAAGAAATTAAATAATAATTTATGAAAATAATTGAATTCATGCAAATAATTAGTATTAAATTTTGTTTAAATATTTGAAATTTTGCCAAAAATTTTATTAAAATTTTTGACAATAATTTAATTCTTGAGAAGAATTTCGCTTTCTACTTATAAAGATAATTTAATTCTTGACGAGAATTTAAAAAAAAAATTTGATAATAATTTAATTTTTGCAAAGTATTTTATTACTTTTCAAAAGAATTAAATTCTTGTGATGAATTTTGGAAAAGAATTTATTAAATTTCCTTAAGCTAATTGATTTTATAGGAAGAATTTTGTTGTTTATCAAGATAATTGAATTCTCTTGCAGAATTGCTTAAAAAAATTTTAAATAATTGATTTTCTGCGACGAATTAAAAGTTATTTATGAAAATAATTAAATTATTGCAACAAATTTTAAAATTTTATTGAATAATTGAATGTTTCTTAAAATTGAATTCTTTCGTCAAGTTTTAAAAAAATTTTTAAGAATAGGGTCAATTGGGGTAAATGTAAACAAGGGGTAAATGTAAACAGCAGATGTTTCAGCTAAATTTACAAATTAAAAAATAAGTACGATGTCAATATTTTTACCTCAGCTCACCTACAAGATGTTCTGAGTATTGCCAATATTTTATTTTGACAATTCGCAATGCCATAGTGTAAGTTATTTTTTAATGCAAAAAAGATTGAAAATCAAATTTTTACTGTTTCAGTATTTTGTCTCGCATTTGCCTAAAAATAAATTTAAAAATCAAACAAAAATATGTTATTCTTCCTTATATTAATGCCCTAACAAAAATTGACTTTGATTTTTGTCAATTTAGTTAATAAATAATTAAGTATTTACATTTACACCGAGAATTCGAAAACTCGGGGTAAATGTAAACAGTACTTTAACTACATTTTAAAAGAAAATAATTGAATAAATTTGCTTCTATTTCACAATTTCATTAATTTGGCAATGTGAAATTACATAGAAAAGGAAATTAGGTCCTCTTTGAAAAAAAAATTTGATAAAAAAATTTTTTTTTTGAAAATTTGATCAATTTTTAAAAATATTTTTAGGTTCATCCGCCATTTTGAAAATTTAAAATTTGACTTCAAATTCGTATTCAGCGACCTCAGAAACCCCCTAGTAGCCAGATTCAAGCAAATTTGATCAATTTTTAAAAATATTATTTTTAGGTTCATCCGCCACATTGGATCCACCATTTTGAAATTTAAAAATTCGATTTTAGATTCTTATTCAGCAACCTTAAAAACTTCTTTTTACCAAGTTGAATGAAAATCTATTAAAATTTGTTCAAGTTATTCAAGTTTTTACATTACTAATTTTGTAATGGTTGATTGTTTATTTTATATGATACATTATCAGTCAACTAGTTGATTTACTATACATCTACGAAGAATTTTTTTTTAGTTTTTTCATCCCTTAAAACAGTAGTATACTTGAAATAACTTGTTTCTTAAACCTCGCTTAACTACAGTGGTGTTTACATTTGCCCCGAATTTTAGGAAAATTTCAAAATCTCGGGATAAATGTAAACAGTCAGTTTTAGGCGATTCAGGTGCATAAATATTTTTTTGTACCCCATAAAATTTTTCTAGGGAACTCTGGTAACAAGTTCATGCAAAAAAAATCCGTCCGTTTTACCTTTTAACAAAAAAAAACTAATGTTTTTGGTGAAAAATAGATATTCCGTTTACATTTACCCCAATTGACCCTAATTGCATTTTTCGAGAAATTTTATTACTCTTGAAAATCATTATTGAATTCTTGTGATAAATATTGTTATTTATAAAAATAATTGATTATTGCAAAGAATTTTTTTAATAGTCCCAAAATTAATTGAATTTTTTTATTTTTTTGAAGAATTTTGATATTTATCAAGATAATTGCGTTAAAACTTTTGAAATAATTAAATATGACTGTGTGAATAAAACTATTGATGTGTTTAACTCCTATAATGAAAGACTACAATTTACTTATGAACTGGAGAGTATAATGACTCTATTGCCTTTCTGGATGTCCTCTTGATTAAACAAAATAATGTACTGCTTTCTGATTGGTACACTAAACCAACCTTTTCTGGGAGATTTGTAAACTTTATGTCAAAACACGGGGCCGGCCCTTGCCTCTTTTGCGCCCAGGGCAAGAATCCTCTGGCGCCCCTTGTAAGGGGAGTAAATTGCTCAGAAAATAAATATTGGTTGCTATGTTAATAATTTTTATCCCCAAGGTTAAAATAAATCATTTTACCGAAAGTTGACATTAAATTTTACAGTTTTTTAACCCTTTGAGTCACAGTGGGTCGCTCAGCGACCCACCTTTTCCTTCTCAGTTTTCAGTATTTCTATGGCATATTTATTAATAAATTTAGGGTTTTTTTTCCGGGCATGTTCCTCATACCTAAACAAGTCTAAGAAAACTGTTGATTCACAATTTGTTAATAATAAAAATATTATAAACAAATAAATAACAAAAAATAATGCTTCTTTTTCAGAAAAAATTCATTTTCTACTTATCCTTACTAATTTTTGAGATGATAATTTTTTTCTTTACAAATTAGATCCTAAACTATATTTACAATTACTTTTTTGAAATTTTTTTTTATAATTTTTAATAATAAATAACAATTTTTTGTAATATTTTATAAAATAAAAGTATTTCAGATGAAATTTCAAACCTATTTTTATAAAACTCGTTACTCGGGGGTTTTTGGTGTCGCTGAATACGAATCAAGCATCAGATTTTTAAAATTCAAAATGGCGGATCTAATATGGCGGACGCAAAAATTAAAAATAAACTGAATTTGCTTGAAACTGGTTACTCAGGGGTTTTTGGGGTCGCTGAATACGAATCTGGCATGAGTATTAATAAATTTATTAATAAACTTAGAAGATTAAAAACGTTCGGATAAAATTAAAGAGTAAAATTAAAAGTGAATGAATCCTGACAATCCACAGTCAGGTAACTCATTTAACGTAAAATCCTCTTCATAGTATTTCTGTCTATAAAAAAAATTAATTTTTTGATACTGAATATAATGTACCATTTTTGACAATCCGATTGAACAAACTGTAGATATTAGTAAAAAATTGCTAACCGATAAGTAACTGAAAATGTCAAACTTAATGCAGGATGTGATGTAAAAAATCACATACAATAATACTGCTTCTACTCAACAAAATACCTTCTTTCAACGTAAAAGCTATATTAACTTGTTGAGAGAATCGTTAGTAATAGTTTCTCGAATGTCGTTTGTTTGAATGAAGTTGATACTTACCTTTGGAGGGATTCGTTCGTGTTAGTCTGTCGTTTGTCATTTGTTTGTTTGAAGTCGGTACTGTGAAGATAATCGTTAGTGTAAGTCTGTTGATTGTGATTTGTCCGATTGAAGTCAATACTCACCTGTGAAGGAAATCGTTTGTGTTAATTGTGTCGATTTTTATTTGTTTGATTAAAGTCGGTACTTACCTGTGGAGAGAATCGTTCGTGTAAGTCTGTCGTTTGTCATTTGTTTGTTTGAAGTCCGTACTTACCTGTGGAGATAATCGTTCGTGTAAGCCTGTTGATTGTGATTTGTCCGATTGTAGCCGATACTCACCTGTGGAGGAAATCGTTTGTGTTAATTGTGTCGATTGTCATTTGTTTGATTAAAGTCGGTACTTACCTGTGGAGAGAATCGTTCGTGTAAGTCTATCGTTTGTCATTTGTTTGTTTGTCCGCCATATTAGATCCGCCATTTTGAATTTTAAAAATCGGATGCCAGATTCGTATTCAGCGACCCCAAAAACCCCCGAGTAACGACTTCCAAGCAAATTCTGTTCATTTTTTAATTTCGCGTCCGCCATATTGGATCCGCCATCTTGAATTTTGAAAATCTGATTCCAGATTCGTATTTAGCGACCCTAAAAACCCCCGAGTAACGAGTTCCAAGCAAATTCTGTTCATTTTTTAATTTCGCGTCCACCATATTGGATCCGCCATCTTGAATTTTGAAAATCTGATGCCAGATTCGTATTTAGCGACCCTAAAAACCCCCGAGTAACGAGTTCCAAGCAAATTCTGTTCATTTTTTATTTTCGCGTCCGCCATATTGGATCGGTCATTTTGAATTTTGAAAATCTGATGCCAGATTCGTATTCAGCGACCCCAAAAACCCCCGAGTAACCAGTTTCAATAGATTTCAATGAAATGAAAAATGTAGGGGAGAGTCTCCAGTTGTTAGACACCTCCAGTTGTGAGACAGTCAATTTTTGTTAACATGCAATAGTTAAAAGCCGATTGGTTTATATAAAAACATTTCTTTTTATATGAGCCAACTTTTTCGTGTACGCCGAAGCGAATATATAAACTGTTTTTGTTAAATACCAACACTGTGTGTGATAATCGACTAAAAAGCATTTTTTCAATAAATGCAAAGTACTTTTTTTCCAAGTTAATTAATTGGAAAAGGTAAATGTAATGCATTTTCTTTTAGTGTTTTCCTTATATTTTGTGATGCAATATTGCATTGTTCCAATCTACGGTTGAAAATAGTTTAATTTTCCTTTTTCAAAATAGCGCCAATTTCTGGGTGTGAGACACAGCGTATCACCAGTTGTGAGACGGTGTCAACACCCATCTGGGCAGCATAAAAAATACGACTTTGCAGGCATACTATTTAAATGTTGTTTTGATTTTTTTCTAGTATTTTTGGGCATGTCAAGTGGAAAAAAGTCAATTGATCCAGAAGAAATCAATTTTAATGCTCTTGTTGAAGCTATTTAATTGTGTTTATTTGATAGTCATATTTTGGCGAATAAATATTATTATTTAGAATATAATAATATATATTATTAATATATTTAATTATTTCTACTAAGCATAACGTTTTATGTCCAACTTATTAAATTTTAGCAATTTTTAATGAGTGTCTCACAACTGGAGACATTTTTTTTTTGACAAAAGCGATGTGCTCGGAAAATGTATCGTAAAATTTTTTGAGTTCATCGTAACACTATACTTTCTTCTAATAAAAGTTGCGTATTTCTGTTACCTTTCGAACGGTGTATTTTATTTACAATTTCGTTTACCCGTTTACAATTTACGGGTCAAAAATAAAACCCGTCTCACAACTGGAGACTCTCCCCTATGACTAAAAGGGTTAAATAAATAATAAATTTATTATATTTCAAAACTATTGTGCGCGCAATTACAAAAATTTTTGTAACGATATCTTTAAACGTTTTTAATGAAATCTTAACATTATTTTAATAGCGTTAATGATAAAACATAACATTTAATACAATTATATTAATTTTTCTGAATTAAATAAAATTCACTTTTCGTGCTTTGGCTTGTGCAAATTTTTCAATACTTTTAGATAAATCGAGCTGACTACCTATTTCATTTTCGATCGACAACAATGCCAATGAATTAAGTATGTCTTGACACATAGTTGACCTTAGGAACGACTTAATTAATTTTAATTTTGAAAAACTTTGTTCTCCACTAGCAACAGTTACTGGCAAAGTCAACAATATGCGAAGCGAAACCCAAATATTTGGAAAGATATCAACTACATTATTTTCTACAATGAATCGAAGAACTTCCAAAGGACGTTTGATTAATGCAGGTTTTATGTACTGAAATTGTTTTAACTCTTCATATAATTCCAGACCGTTGATATCCGAGTCCGCTTCGACAGTGAGGAAGGTGCTTAACTCCTGGCATTTAGATAACAAAATGACATCGTTTTTAGCAAAATCTTGAGATGGTTTCCTTATTAAATAAGAAGAAAAATCATACAAAAATCCCCAAAAATTTTCGTGTACCTTTAATTGTTGAAACCTTTCATTCATGGAAGTCAAAGCTGTATCGACCAAAAAAAAAAATCTCTTTGGAATTGTTTCTCTCGTGTAGCGTTTGCAGACTCATATTGACTTTCGTAATCGAACATCCTTTTTTTTTTTCTTCTGCGAGTTGAAGTATCAAAGAATGGATCAGCATCAAGATTTACAGCAATTTCTTTAGCAGATTTTAAAGCAGATTCAAAACCTACATTTCTGTAGACAGAAAGAAATTCAGTGAATTTTTTTGTCGACTGTGTGGCAGCAGCAATGTCCATGCTTTGACTTTGCAAACTCTTGCTGACGATATTGGCTTGAAACAAAATATCATACCAAATGACTAGAGACATAAGAAATTCAAAACGCATGAGTTCATTAGCTAAGCATTTTGCTTCATGTTGTACAGCGGGATTTCTCGAATCAGAATTATATATTTCCATTAACGCATTATAAACTTCCTTTGCTTGATATCTGATGGCCTTGACGGTGTCCAATCTTCTTTCCCAACGAGCAGTGCACAATGGTTTAACAGTGAGATTTTTTACATGACTTTTTAGAATATCCCATCTCTGCGTTGAAGCTGAAAATAGGACATAAATGCGTTAAAGTACACCAAAAAGTGTAATGCAGATTCTCGATGAGGATGCAGCATCCGCGATCATTAAATTCTCGCAATGACACCCACATGGATTAAATGATGCTCTAGGATTCAATTCAAGAACCCTGGCTTGAACACCCACGTTTTTTCCCTTCATGTTAGAGCCATTGTCATAACCCTGACCTCGTAAATCTTCAATTCTTATATTATTTTCCTCGAGAGTTTTAAGTAAAAGATTGTTAGTCCTTCGCCCGTTGATGTGGGAGCAATTCTAAACCCCAAAAAGTGCTCTTTGATTTCGACATTATTACCGTCAATTTCCACGAATCTCACAGTAAATGACATTTGCTCAGTATGGCTGTTATCTGGAGTACAATCAAGAATAATTGAATAATATCGTGCATTTTTTAATTTTTTCAATATCTCTTCTAAAACGTTCTTTGCCAAAAGATCTATTAATTCATTTTGAATATTTTTTCCGCAATAATGGTCTTTTATTTCTTCCTTCGAAATTCTCCTCAAATGTTCTCGCATGATATCGTCAAACTTTCCAAATAACTCTACTAATCCAAGAAAATTTCCATTATTTTTCGCATAAAGTTTGTCAGATGAGCCTCGAAAAGCCAGATTGTGTTGAGCAAGATACATAGTTATCTCTCTCTCTCTCTCTCTCTCTCTCTCTCTCTCTCTCTCTCTCTCTCTCTCTCTCTCTCTCTCTCTCTCTCTCTCTCTCTCTCTCTCTCTCTCTCTCTCTCTCTCTCTCTCTCTCTCTCTCTAAATGTGGGTGTGAGAATGGAATAACTCTGGCAAAGAAATAAAGTAACATTTTGCGGCGGCGCGTTGCATTGATGAGATGCACATACGTAAACAAGCGATGTTTTATAGAGAAGAAACGATATGTGGCAAGAGAGTAGAACGCAAATCTTCTCGTCGCTCTCTCGATGGAGAGAAGAAACGATTTCAATGGGGAGTGAATGTCACGCCACGTCGTGATTTTGGCGAGACGGGGCAGAAGCAAAAAAAATAAAGAAAAAGACAACTTTTCGATCGTATATATAAAAGGGCGTTAAAGGAGAATGAGAGAGCTTTTGTGCGAGAGGAACTTGGTGAGAAGCCGTGAAAAAAGGAGGATAAAAAAAAAGGAGAAAGGAAAGGGAAAAAAATAAGAAAGAAATGAATACAAAAACGATTTTGAACGTGAAAAAGGAGGACCGATTTCGACGAAAAGACGCGATGAGATCTCGTTTGATTTTGCAGATGTTATACGGTGGGTGCCGCGGGTGTCGCGTTCGCTAAGAAAGAAGAAGACAACGGTTCGAGAAAAAAGGAAAACATGAAAGTGAAAAAAAAATTAAATCGGGATTGTTTCCTGGTTTTTTCTTTATTTCAGAAAGGGCTCTTTTCTTTTGCAAATAATATTTTAATGTTAATAGTATTTTTACTTATTTTTCATATTTTTCGAAATAATAATGACTCTCTGAATTTGAATTAGTAAAAACATTTACTATTGAAAAATGTTTTTTAAATTGAATTAATGACTGACTTTTTGGTTTTGAATTTGTAAATTTTAGTAACAAATTAGTAGAAATTATTATTTAATTTATTTTGAATCTATAATATAATGAATTAGCAAATACAACTGACAAAAAATATTTATTTACTAGTTATTATTATTGATTAGGAATAATTATTATTATTAAGGGGACATTCCAGTTCAAAATGCCAAAAATATCGATGTTTTTATTTTCGGATTTCCTATATAGTGTCAAGAATACTCTCTCAAAATTTTATTGCAAAATTCGAAGTAAAACAAAAGTTATACGTACTAACTTATTTTTCGCCATGTCAAAGATGTTTTTATATGCAGATAAGCAGAACCCAATCGAATGATTTAAATGTTTTCTTATTTGCATTTTGTAAAAAAGACAAACAAAAATGTATTTGGTGTTGCTGATCACAAATTAGATATCAAATTTTCAAAATTAAAAATGGCGGATCCAATATGGCAAAAGAGAAAATTAAAAATCAAGTGGATTCGCTTGAAAATCGTTGCTCGGGAGTTTTTAGGGTCGCTTATTACGAACATGATATCAGATTTTTGAAATTCAAAATGGCAGGCAATTTTTCAAAATTAATCAATTTTTAATTTCAAAAATCTAATATCATATTCGTAATGTGCGACCCCAAAAACCCCCTAGTAACGATTTTGAAGCAAATCCGATGATTTTAAAAAAAATTATCCACCATATTAGATTCGCCATTTTGAATTTCAAAAATCTAATATCATATTCGTAATCAGCGACCCCAAAAACCTCCCAGTAACGATTTTTAAGCAAATCCGATTACTTAAAAAAAATGTCCACTTTATTGAATCCGCCATTTTGAATTTGTAAAATCTGATACGATATTCGTAACTTGCGACCTCAAAAACCCTCAAGTAAATATTTTCAAGAAAATCTGATGATTTTTTAAAAAAATTGTCTAAACTTATTAATCAAAACTTTATCATTTATCTCAAAATGTCTTTTTTCATCGGGTAAGAGTGATATCTCGAGTTCCTATTAAGCGATTTTGAAAAATCAAACGGCATTTGATTCAATGTCAATATGTCTATAAGTGGAACCTCAAAAACTGGAAAATTTCCAACATTCCTTTTTATTTATAAGATAAATTCTGAATAAAAACATATGTTTTTTCATGTTTTTGGGAAAAAGTACCTACTCTAAAAAAAGGAAAGGAAGAAAATTTCACTTTTTTGAGGTTCCGCACCTAAAGAAATATATATAACGAAGAGAATATTACTTCGTTTTTGGTTTTATTTGTTTTAGAAAGTTTGGAATCGATCCTACCATAAGAAATGGACATTTTTGAAAATGGCTTTTATCGCCGCTATTTTGAAGTAAAAATGAAAAAAATTTTTTTTTTTGCATATTCTGAAATAAATTATTTGTCACATGTAAAAGAAATTTATAAATAAATGTCATAGTTATTTTAATAATATAATACTAAAAAAGCCTTGTTTTTTCCTGTTTTGAACTGGAATGTCCCCTTAACTATAATAATCGTCGTATTCATTCTGTCCAGTCTGTCTACACCTGAAGTTAGTCATGATTATGCTTTTGTTTTTTGATACGTTTTGATAAAAAATATTATACTTCTTTCATTTTTTTAATTTATTTATTTAATTAAAGGTGTAAGGTTATAGTTTCTTGTCAAGTCAAATTGGCTGCCTTTATTCCCAAATGTTACTTACGATATTTTTTATTCCAAATGCACAAATGTGGCGATTTCAGATAGCAGACGGCAGTGAGTAAAAGTCATTCACTTGTTCGACTTGTATGAAAATGGCGGCCGTTTTCTCCCTTGGGAAAAAATAATGCATGGGATCAGCTGTTACTTTTGCACATAAGAGAAAATGGTCGCCATTTTCATACGGTCGAACAAATGAGTAACTTTACTCCTTGTCGTCAGCTATCTAAAAGCGCCATTTTTGTGCATGTGGGATAAAAAAATATTTGATTCAGTGTTATTATTAATAATAGTGCATTAAAAAAATGAAAGTTGTTTGAAAACAGTAAATATTTAGGATATTCGAATTTAGAATTTTTTTAAATTGAATTATTATTCTTATATAATAATTCAACTGATTAATTAAAAATTATAAAATATTATATAATTTTTTATTGTATTCCATTTATTATGTATATATTATAATGGATACAGAAATTTTACAAAAATATTTTTCATTGAATTTTTTTTTTTCCAGTTATTAGCCAGTTGGCTAGTAAAGTAACTAGACAATTTCAAGCGCGACTGGACACAAAGTCTATTTTAATCTTGTTTTTATTTCTTCCATTCGAAAGTTCATCTCAAATAGTAAGTTGTCTTTTTGTTAAAAGTCAGTTTTTTTTTTTTTTATTGTTTATACTCCTGCCCTATTGGCCTTACGCACTTCGACAAGAGTCCCCGAGAAAAACTTTTTTTGGATTAAGCATAACCATTCTACATAAATTTTCTATATATTAACCTAAGTTGCGTCTACAGCCGACTTTTATTAGGAGTACTCGCATTGTGCCTGGACCACCCGTCAATGGGTTTTCTCGCCAGAGAAGAGGGAAACTGTAGAAAACCTCTCCTGAGTACAACCGGTTTATCGACAGTCGAGTTCTAATGGTGTGTACCGGACAATAATCGACGGTGCACATCCTTATACCTCGACGTCAAACCTCCCGCTCAGATTGTCTCACGTGCCGGAAAAATACCAAGCCAAGTGGGCGCGAACCAAGGATACTTATACCCTTGGTCCTTAAACGACCGCCAACGCCAGGCATCTATCCGACTGAGCTAATCTGTCGGTAGAAGTCAGTTTTTGGATCTTAATATAATTCTTGTTTTGAAGTTTAGGCCAAAGAATCAAAAGTTTTCATTAAAAAATTTTGAGGACAATTTTTAAGTTTGTCAACCACAGTTGGCTTCAAGTTAATTTAGGTTTTGCAAAAATGGTGACAAAATCGGGTAGTGGTATTTCATTCTTCTTTATTTAGAGCTTCTAAAACCGTAAAGACGAAAATCGCAGCTGATCCTTTTTTCAAGTTATTGTTAAATTTGTAATTTTCTTATAATACCTATTTGGAAAAAAAAATTTTAAATATAAATCATTCAATTTTAAAACAAATAAGATCACTAATATTTGATTCTGTTGCTAATTTCATCCACTCAATTTGACGTTTCACTATCATTCGATATTATTATGTAAGCACAGAAATAAAATGTCTGACTACGTTAACACCTTAGATTCAGCAATCAGCTCATATATTTCACATTAGTCTGTCGTTGTTTAACGGGGTGTTTTTTTAATGTGAGAAATTAATTTGTTTTTAATATTAATTTGTTTTAATTTTTTTGTTTTTTAATTTGTCTTGTATTCGAAGATCACTTAAAATTTTAAAAAGGTAAGATATTGCTCAGGGGTGGTAAAATTTTTTTTGTAATATGGAAAAGTATTTTTGTTTTAATTCTTAACTTTCTTCATAGTTTCTTTGAAGATGGAAAATAAAGTCAATTCTCATTGCCAAAGTAAATGTGATCACGAGCAGAACAGAATTAAGGTGTGTGCAGCGTGTGGTTCAAAAATTGTTTTCGGAAATAAAAATTCTAACTTTTTCCGTATAAATGATCAAATTGAGACTCTTATAAAAAAGTATATTAAGCAAGAATTCGAAATATCTAAGTCTATATATCCACTGAGTGTATGTAATACTTGCCGAAATACTCTTTTCGAATATGAAAAACATGATTTTAAAAGAAATTTGCCAATTATGCCTAATTATGATGACATTATTTTACGAAAAGAAACGCGATCTTCTGACTTAACTTGTAACTGTTATATATGTCTGACAGCAAGATATAAAGGCCACTCTAAGGTTAAGAAAGGTAGAGGTCATAAACGACAATTATCGAACGAAATTGATTCAACTAATGGTTTATATATGGTTCTTCGAATATCTCACAGCGTCCAAATAGTCAAGAGAAATCATTTGATCAGTCAAAAAAAAGTATTCTCATTTGTAAAACTTGCTTTCAGACAGTTGGTAAAGGCATTAATCACTTATGTGTTAATCGTGGTTCAGCATCTACTTGTCGAAATA